CGGGGAACAGCCTGGATTTTCCATGTTAGCCCAGTGCCAGCCCGGTTGAGTTCAGGCTGCTGTGCGCAGCCCCCAGCCTGGGAAGCGTTTCTCCCCCGCTGTCAGTAACAGGAGCACAGTGCACAAAACCCCAGTGCACACGCTTGCGGCTGCGCCAGCTCGGGCTCTGCGCCCCCCGCGAGGAGCTCAGCCCTTTCCCAACGCGATGTGGGCCTGGAAGCAGCGCGGCAGGGCTGGCTCAGCACCGCACCTGTACTGACGCACCCAGACCTGCATCCCTGGCCCGATTCATCTACAACCCAGGCAAACCGACCCTGGACAGCGAGCCTCGCTGCACCCCACCTCCCGCAGGAGCGTTACTTCTTCTGGATCCCTTAGTCCAGATTTCTTTGTAACTTTTCCGTACTGTGAACGGCTCAAGCTTTCACTTAACACTCACTCTCCAAAGTCCACGTGGGAAACCAGGCATTTTGGTTTCAGAGAAACCAGTTTCTGTTGACGCTACCAAGACATCATCGAAAGGTTTGATAGCTGTCTTTGTGCTAGGAAGGTATATTATTATCCCCATTTGGCAAATGGTTAACTGAGACAGAGAGGGGGTTAAGCCAAAACTAATGAAATCGTTTATTCTCGGGGATGTCAAACCAATGCAACCAAGACCAATGTCCTTGAAGCAAACACCCAGAAAGAAAAAAATTCAGCACAAACCATTACGTTTGGCAAAGCTAACAGAAAGAAGGCTTACATTGGAAAGTGTTGGGTGACCCTAATTTTCAAGGATTTCAAAGCCACACAACAAGGTAGGAAAACGCTACTACATTTTGTATACAAAGGAATAGAGACATCATCTGAACCTGCTACGCAGCCTCACAAACCACGCTTAATAACGTTTCCTGTATGAATGGGGAAAAAAATGCAGAACTTAAGTGTTAGCAGAAATGTTTTCTCAACTCCCTCATATTTCAAAAGCAATGAAAATGGTATTTCACCACTTGACTTTTGAATATTTGTCAGAGGATGTGCAAGCTTGTTGCAGGGTCATTGCAGTGAATAAGCAGCAGAAAATCTACTTGGAAACAAAAGTGGAAATAATTTAATTACTTCACAGTGGTGAAGGGACAGAAGTAAACATCAGAGACAGGTAAATAAGATTTAAATTGCTATCCTTAAAATCTGAAGTATGTTTTAGTAACTTGGGAGAAGTGGTATTACAGATGTTATCTGACTCTGCTGGTCACCTGAAGTTTTCTGAATGATATTAAGTGGCCAAAATTTCTCTCCATGTTTCCATATTCCACAGAACAGTCATGTCTTAGAGCCATCGTAATGTTTCTGATGTGTGCAAACCAGCTGGGAAAAAATACCATGGGTTGGCACAGAAGAT